CCATCAGTAAGGTGTTGAGTGGCAGCGTTGTGGGGCGGGTAGAGGCACTCAGGGCCGTTACTCGTCCATTTGAAAGATCCCTTAGCTGATACTTCAATGTGCTTAAATTTGTTTATTCTTGAAAAATATTTCGTAATGATAGTATTATTGTAACATCTGTCAACTGACAACTTCACTCCCCATTCATTCTGATTGAACGCCTCATTGTATTGCTCAAATGCCTCTACTTTTAACTCATGCAAATGAGAGAGATTGCATAAATTTTTTTCAGTAAATGTGAACTTCACTTGAAACGGAAGAACTATACCTAATGTCAATGTCACATTGACGAAGATGAACTCTTGATTAAGAACGAAGAACAAGGTGACAGTCTGTTCAGTAAATGTACCAATGATTCTGTAATCCACTGAATTCATGACCATAACTGAGTCACATTCATCTCTCTTTCTCCTCTGGCGACGGATCTCTTGCTTCCAGCTTTTGCTTTTGCGGTTCATCTGTGTGGTGTTGGCGTCCCAGCGCGAGGACCCGTCTTGAACCATTGGTGTCCCGTTGCTGCTTGTGAGGGCTGAAGGTTCTGTCACACGGGAGGAAGCGTTATTCATAATATTGATCAGCTGGGCTTGTGTTGCAAGCAGAGGGACAGCAGTGGTAAGTGAGGTGTTTGTGAGGGACCTGGAGGTGAGGAGCTGTAACCTAGAGATATGGAGTGACTGGGTCTTGAGGGCAGGCGAGGCAAACACACCGGCCGACTTCTCGCTGCTGCTCTGCGCCAATATCGCGACTATAATGAGCCACAACAGCATCTTTGCACACACTTCACAGCTGCGTGATGCAGTATAATCACGCACAAACATCTTAAACCGCACATGCACAACACTCCCACTTGAACTATACACGTAATTCAGATCTTCCAATAGCGCCTTAACAGTTTCGTAGCCGCCTCAGCATGTACTAAAGAACAAATTCTCATACGTTTTTCCCAGCCATGGGCGGATGTGTATCCTGTCTAAAGGTACGAATGTCTACAAAAATTAAGGTCACAGATGAAAGAAGCCACAGCACTGTAATCACACAACTGTCGCTACACTACTGTAGCCACTCTACTGTCGTCACTTCTATAGCCACTCTACTGAAATCACAGTTCTGTAGTATACTGTAACAACACTACTGTAGCCAAGTACCACCAGCTTTGCAACTGGATGAGTATTCTGAGAGGTAAACTGCACTCCTCGGCGTATGTACACTGAAAGTTTACCTTAGTCCTGAAACTTGTTCAGGACTGGCGTATGCTTGTTGTTCGGTCAGTACACTATTGTGAGGTGTTTACATTGGGCGATTGTTGGTTGCCTTGACGGGTGGTTGTTTGCCACTGCGGGGTGACTGTTTTCCAGTCTCAGTATGGGGACTTGCGTGCCGCCACTAAGGAGGAAGTACTCAGCTGGGCTGACATTTACCTGTCAGGTGGATATTGGCGTCGTCAGCAACACTGTTTGCAGTTATGGGTGTGAAAGTGGAAGATCTCGTCGGTCTATAGGTTGTTCGTGACGACAGAGTAGTTCTGAAGTTCACCGAGAGTGGCTTGTTCCGGAGGTTTCTCGACCAGTTTGAGGACAAGGTGGTGGGGCTGAGCAACGGTCTTGGCTCTGTGACTGTGACGAATTTGAGTGTGGAGTACACATACGGGTCTATTAAGAATGCGCCGTTTGAAATGTCTGAGGATCTTCTCCGTCGGGCACTTGCCAGGTATATGGGCGTGTGGACTCTATTCGTGCCTGGAGATACACAACCGGGGACGTCAAGGGACTCGGTAATGGTTACAGAACAGCTAAGATGGTTCTTCATGGGAATGTGCCGTCTTCTCTCGCGCTTGCTAGCTTTACGGTCTGCTTCTCCTACCGTGGGCACACTCGGACGTGTTTTAAATGTGGCCACGTTGGACATTTGGCTGCTGCCTGCGACACTCGGTTGTATGATCGGGTAAATGTGTTTCATGAAGCGGATTTTCCTCCCTTGCCCGAGCGTGAGGATGTCTCGGTTGTGGATGATACCCCGTGTAAGAGGACGGCCGCGGTGATGGGTGCCGCTCTAGTTAGTGCGGTTGGTGGTGTGGGTGTCGGGGGGGGGTTGTTATAACTTTTATTTGTGTAATGACATTTTCAAATAAAGTTAGATATATATACACACATACCAAAAGAATAGGGGTGGTAGGAGAAGAAAATATTTAAGAGTTCAGTTAGTATCCACAAGGTCTTCTCTGAGTACTCTTTATTTTCTTCTCCGAGGCTATGGGTCCCTACACTTGCACCAGAGATGGTACCCTTTTTTTATTTAATATATATATATATATATATATATATATATATATATATATATATATATATATATATATATATATATATATATATATATATATGTCGTACCTAGTAGCCAGAACGCACTTCTCAGCCTACTATGCAAGGCCCGATTTGCATAATAAGCCAAGTTTTCCTGAATTAATATATTTTCTCTATTTTTTTCTTATGAAATGATAAAGCTACCCATTTCATTATGTATGAGGCCAATTTTTTTTATTGGAGCTAAAATTAACGTAGATATATGACCGAACCTAACCAACCCTACCTAACCTAACCTAACCTATCTTAATAGGTTAGGTTAGGTTAGGTGGCAGAAAAAGTTAAGTTAGGTTAGGTTAGGTAGGTTAGGTACTCGAAAAACAATTAATTCATGAAAACTTGGCTTATTAGGCAAATCGGGCCTTGCTTAGTAGGCTGAGAAGTGCGTTCTGGCTACTAGGTAAGACATATATATATATATATATATATATATATATATATATATATATATATATATATATATATATATATACATATATATATAATATAAAGTATCCAAATAGGAAAAATAACACGAAAATGCCAAACGCTTTCGTGTTCCAACACATTTTCAAGGAACACAGTAACGCAGCATTCATTGAAAATAAGTTGAGACACGAAAACATGTCGGAACTACTGAATTTTCGTCTTTTTTTCCTGTGTGTATTTTTGCGTCTAACTAAACCACATGATTATTCTCGCATTAGATATATAAGTAATCACCAAGAAATCACACACAAGGGCTTTAACCCACAGACATGCACAACACTTCCACTTTAACTATACTTGTAATTCAGGTCTTCAATAACCCTCTCAAAGTTTGAAAGCCGCCTCAGTATGTACTAAATAGCACAATCTCATGATCTTTTCACAGAAAACACAGGCGGATGTGCATCCGGCCCAGGTGTGGAGAACTGACAAATACAATGTCGCCAGCGAAGGAAGCCATAGCTGTTGCCACACTACTGCAGTAACATTACTGTAGCCACACTACAGTAGTAACATTACTGTAGCTACTTTAATGCAGCCACACTACTGTAGTAACATTACTCTAGCCACACTGCCGTAATCACACTACTGTAGCCACACTACTGTAGCAACTTTACTCTAGCCATAGTACTTTTAGCCATACTACCGTAGTAACATTACTGTAGCCACACTACCATTACAACCACACTACTGTAGCAATATTACTGTAGCAATGCTGGTGTAGCAATGCTTGTGTAGCAACATTACTGTAGTCACGCTGCTGTAGCCAGAATACTGTAACCCCCAACAACTGTAACCTTGGAAAAGCTGAAGAATATTAATAGATGTCTTTCTGATAACACTTCTTGATAAGAATCCAAGTATCATGTTTGCCTTCCTTGGCAAGAAAGGCATAATATATATATATATATATATATATATATATATATATATATATATATATATATATATATATATATATATATATATATATATATATATATATATATATATATATATTATCATGTTTGAATAGTAATCCATGAGTCCTAAATCTTTCTTGTCTGCAGATTTAGCAATTTCTGCCTTGTTAAGCTGCTGTTTGGGAGCTCTTTTAAATTACAAGTTAAGTTAATAATCAGGAGAGAACATTGAGCCGTCACGACTATATATCATTTGGAAAGGATATGAGGACAAGAATTTAGGATGGGTCGGAGGAAAGGAATTTTGCTCTACCACTTGGATGTTCGGGGATTAAACTCCGGCCTGCAAGAAGAGAGGCTGTCGCTGTACCGTCCAATCCAAATGGTTGGAATGTCATAATTCAAAGGCTAAGAAACTTACAATAACATCGTTACTCAGCATCTTCCAACGTTTCGTCCTCTATAAAAGAATATTAACGTGGAAACAGACTTGCCCTCGTTCCAGCACGATAACAGTCTTGTTTACTAATGATATGGCGTCAGATTTTCCTGAGTGTAATGTTGATAAACAAGGAATCTGACCTTGACTAGTAATGTTTACCATATTGATGATATATAAAATAATAATAATATTAATCAAACCCACTTTTTTTTATAGTTTGTGTGATGGTAGTACTTGCACCTCTATCCCCCTGCATCTCCCTCACCCTGCACCTCTCTCACCACCTCCCTCACCCTGCACTTCTCTTCCCCAACAGAAAGGGTTAGCCAGCGATGGTGGACACAGGTGGGAGTGTTCTCATCTCACTCGATAACACGCCACCTGCTCTCAGCACTTGATCAAAACATAGCCTTGTGAAATTCCCCAAACTGATGCGTTTCACGGCACCCTCCACCCAAGCACATCCCCCCACCCCAGTCTCCTACACATGAACCCCCCTCTACAGTAACCCCCCCTCACAATATGTATCACGTTCGCCACTCTAATGCTATAGGTGTTTATTTTCTACCATCCAAGACGTTCCCGTTACCCCTTGGTTATTAATCTCGTATTGCTATATTATATCGTCCACACTACTGACCCACTACCCCAAACACACACACACACACCCTCCCAACACACATACACCCCCTCATCCCAAAACACATACACACACCCCCTCTCTCTCCCCCTCTCTCACACACACACAGCCAGAGACGTGTCGCAGGAGCCTTATATAGAGACATCTGGACATCAGTTGGAGTCTTCCCTTGGCTCCCGTGGTGGCGTGAGTCTGCAGTGTCCCGGGGTGACTGAGAGACAGCCGGAGCCTGTAAGAGTTAGAGTCTGTGGCAGCGTCGGAACTTCAGCTACACTAAGCATCAACAACTATGTTAAAGTACTTCCTTTGCGGTAAGTTGACCTGTCGCCGCTTCTCTGTATTGATAACCTTTGTGTTTCCAGTAACCATTGTTTGGTTTTGCAGCTGTATGCGAGCCTAATGATATAGCGTTAACATTGCAGACGATTGCACCTTTCATGCTTGCATTATATACACATATATATATATATATATATATATATATATATATATATATATATATATATATATATATATATATATATATATATATATATATATATATGAGTCTAGCGATGATGATCATGTGTTCTTTTGTCTGGATCTCTAAATCGTTGCGATCGTTGAACCGTATATAAATATATATGTATAAACACTCGATTTAAGTGTATTACGAGAGCCTCGACCTCGGCTATGAACTGGAACTCAAAACCATGACCCCAGCCTGACTTAGAACGCCTTTCGTGACCCTTGTTGACCCGTTATTGCTCCCTACAGTGGTGGTGTTGGTGTCGTGCGGCGAGGCGGTCCCCACGACACCCATGCAGGAGGCTCCGGGCGCTTCAGTAGACGATGTCCGGTTTCTTCTTTGGACCAAGTAAGACTGGCTCGACTTTGAGATGTCGAGGGGGGGGGGGAGGGGAATACTGGGTATTATGATCCAATTTTATGTGAAATGTTCGGAATTGATTGAGCAGTTTCTATTATAAAGATAGTCTATTTCATATAGAATAGACTATCTTTATTTTTTGCAACTGTTGTTTCTAATAATGTACCATTATGATGATAGAAAGTTAAATAATGGTACATTTGACGCCAATGTTCAAAGATTTATGAGAGGGCACTTAAAAGGGTATTCCAGACACTGTTGCAGATTCTCCCTCTAAGGCCCTAATTACTACGCCTTCGCTGCCTGCCCTAATCACTTCTCGGACCTCTTTTTGTATATTAACATATTTAGGTAAATCTATATTTACACGGCTACCTTAGACTCGTATGAAGGTTTATTGAGATAATCATGAGTTAGCCTTGACAAAATACAAATCCCCATCATGTAGGTAGTTATGAGGAGAAAGTACTTAGTCAGTATGCCTATATAGCACTTGCAAAGGGTATGAGGACAGAGAACTGTGATTGGACAGAAGGAAAGAATAGTGAACAACCACTTTGATCATCGGGGAATCGAACGCCGACGTGCAAGAAGCGAGGCCGTCGCTGTATCTACCAATCCAAGTGATTGGTACCCATCCTCTAGGATGGTTTGTCATATAAGAAGGAAGGAGAATTATCAGGAGAAAGCACCAAGCCATTACGACTATATTGCACTTGGAAGGGATCAGGATAAGGATTTGGAATAGGACGGAGGAAAGGAATGGTGCCCAACCACTTAGACGGTCGGGGATGGGTCTCAACCACTTGGATTGATAGATCAGAACTCTCACCTTTTTCCTCCCGTGGGTATTCAGGAGCAACTCCGGCGACGGTGCCTACTACGAAGTGGTCCTCGACGACTCAGGGAGCCTCAACGGGTCGCCGCTCAACGCCAATGACCCCACAGTCGTCCTCATTCACGGGTTCTCGAGCTCCGGCGACAGCGGCTGGCCCGTGGACGCCAAGACCGGTACGTTATGGAAAGATCTGGAGACGTGAGCTAATATCTCTAACAACGATGTTTCAACCAAAGAAACAAAAAAGGTTGCGTTTGTCAACATTTCGCATTTCAACATGTTTCCTTAAGAAGTTAAGCAAATTTCCCCAATAATAGATTAATAATGTTAGGCAATAATGATGCTCTGACAGTGATGTGATTTAAACCAGGATAACAGGATAAATTCAATTATTATGCGTTCAAATAAGACCTTTAGAGCTCAGAATCAGCAATTTTTACAACAAATTATCAATACATAACTCAACATAATTCTAAACAAAAAAACATTTACTACACTTACTGTACGGACATTGATTTTTTTTGGCCTTTATTTAAAAAAATTGTTTATCCTGTGTATATATAATGATTTTATTTTAAGCTTCGTAAAGATTTCACCTGAACATCCTGTACTTCTCCCGGCGATTTCTATCTCATTCTGATCTTTAACATAATTTCCAAAACCGGTGTCTGAATACTGGGAGATTACTATAGTCCTGGACTGTGTTCAGGACTAAAGTGTTCTTGCTGATTAGTCAGTAAAATGTTGTGGTGGCGTTAATAATCCTCCCACGAGGGAAAGTCCTTAAGCCCGACAACATCCCCAAACTAAACATTTCCCCCATACTTCTACCGCTATTGTCGCGACGTTCCTCAGAGCTGCTGAAGCAGGGATCGTACAACGTCATCTCCGTGGACTGGGGTAAACTGGCAGCTGCCCCCTGGTACCTCACTGCTGTAGCCAACGTTCCCCTGGTGAGTCCTCAACCACTTCCCTCCCACTCACTCCTAACCTTATCGTTTCATATTGACTATCTCTATCCATTATTTTATCTGCCACAGACCTAATGATATTTTAAATGTCTGCTATAAAGTATCTTTCAAGACTTGTCCTCTGTGTAAGGCCCATGAGGCACACTGCCTTAATTATGTCACTTTCGCAGGCGATAAGTCACAATAACGTGGCTGAAGTATGTTGACCAGACCACACACTAGAAGTTGAAGGGACGACGACGTTTCGGTCCGTCGACTTGAGAATGGTCCAGGACGGACCGAAACGTCGTCGTCCCTTCAACTTCTAGTGTGTGGTCTGGTCAACATGTCACTTTCCTTAAATAATGTCTGCACATTTCTTCCGAATGACCTGAGACGTCTCTCCCATGCAGGTGGGTGCCCACACAGCCACTTTCCTGGACTGGCTGAAGGCCTCCGTGGGTCTGGACACCAGCAAGCTGCAGATCACTGGACACTCGCTGGGCGCTCACGTCTCGGGCGCCGTCGGCCAGAACGTCGCCTCCTTCACCGTTCCCGCCATCACTGGTATTAAGACTCTTAGACCTCCTTGGTCCCGCTGGGAGACTTGGACAACCTGGTCCCAAGCCTCCTTAAGTGTGATGTCATAACTGACGTCGTGAGGCTTTATATTTAGAATGATTATTGTTATTATTACAATAATATAATTGCAATTAATTTTATTATTAGAATTAATGTTGTAATTATTGTTATTAATATTTTGGTTATTATTATTATTGTAATGGTTTTATTATTATCATTAGCATGGTTATGGGTGTAACCGAACCTTTACTCAACTGTGCGGTGTATTGGAACAGGTTTGGACCCGGCGGGACCGGAGTTCTACTCTAAACCAACGTCTGAACGTCTAGACGCGTCTGACGCAGCATTCGTCCAAATCATCCACACCAATGGTGGCGAGATACTGCAAGTACGTCACTTTCGGAGTGCTGTAAACGACTATATTCAGCCGGTTTTTTGGTGTGATTTATTGGGGATTTATAGAGCTAGAATGGAGCTGCGTTTCAGTTCTTGGGTCCTGACTCTAGCTGCCTTCAGTCGACTGATGTTCATGATTCCTGTTCTTTTGTCTCTGGCTAATCTGCATTTGAATCTGTGTGTGTTGTGGCTCCGTCACTTCAACCTCTCATTTATAACATGTCTTGGCTATTCTGACACGTGAAGAGTTATTATTTAAATACCTGTAGCGTATCCGGGGACTGCGTTTATATGTGTGTTTCCTTGTTGAGTTCTTCAGGTTTACAATAACCAGACTTCCTTGTAAATTCCACTGAGTATTTCGTGTGTTGTGATCATATCTCCCCCTGTTTCTTTTTTCTTAGGAATGTATGGATTAGTTTTTAGATTCTAATCATAACCGCTGGGTCTAATCTGGTGGCATCAGTTTGAGCTTTCTCCAACTTTATACATAAGACTCGAATGGCTGTATTAGGTTCAAGCGTAACTCAAGGGAGATCCCATGATTAAGGCCAGACAACATGTATTCACCTCAGGTGTTCAGCGTCTATTGTCGCTTTGTTTACGATATTTTGTCTTATCCCTCAGAGCTGTGTGGGCCTCGCGGACACCGCCGGCCAGGTCGACTTCTTCCCTAACGGAGGCGTTCACCAGCCCGGGTGTGTCGACCTGGGTGAATGGACCGACCTGCTTGAAGGTAATAGCTGGCCAAACGCACTCACGACCCACTGACACCTGTGTCGTCCTCACAGGTTCAGTGGAGCAGCTGACTACACGTGTGTGTGTGTGTGTGATCCCTCCTCATTGTCTGCGTGCATGCACCTCGTGTGTCCTTCTATGCAGATGGACACACACACACACACACAACACAACACACACATACACACACACACACACACACACACACACACACACACACACACACACACACACACACACACACACACACACACACACACACACACACACACACACACACACACACACACACACACACACATACACATACACACACACACATACACATACACATACACAACACACACACACACACACACACAACACACACACACACACACACACACACACGCACACACACACACACACACACACATACACATACACACACACACATACACATACACATACACAACACACACACACACACACACACACACACACACACACACACACACACACACACACACACACACACACACACACACACACACATATATATATATATATATATATATATATATATATATATATATATATATATATATATATATATATATATATATATATATATATATATATATATATATATATATACATACATATATATTATTAAATATGACCGAAAAAGTAAGATTAATAATTCTAACACGAATTTTCTCAATCTTTCGTACATTACGCTTCACTGTTGGAGGTAAATCAAAAATCACTTCTCCAAAATTCATTTTTATTTCTAGTCTGACGCGACACGGGCGCGTTTCGTAAAACTTATTACATTTTCAAAGACTTCACAAATACACAACTGATTAGAACTTACACTGATTAGAACACAACTGATTAGAACTAGGTAAGTTCTAATCAGTTGTGTATTTGTGAAGTCTTTGAAAATGTAATAAGTTTTACGAAACGCGCCCGTGTCGCGTCAGACTAGAAATAAAAATGAATTTTGGAGAAGTGATTTTTGATTTATCTCCAACAGTGAAGCGTAATGTACGAAAGATTGAGAAAATTCGTGTTAGAATTATTAATCTTACTTTTTCGGTCATATTTAATAATATATGTCTACAGGAAAGACTGCTACCAAAATATACTAACATACATATATATATATGTATATATATGTATATATATCATAGTTATTAGATGTTCGCTCTAATTTGTCCACATATTTCCTCCCTTCTTTTTTTCCCCATTTGTGACATCCAGTCTCTGACCATAGAAGACCATGTGTACCCAAAGATGACCTACTTTCTCTATTCATTCATGCCCCCCCCCCCTTTGAGTTCATTAATGTCTGTGATTAACTTTCTATGTTCTCCGGTGTCCTAATTTAAAGATGGCTTCCATCTGTGCACGTATGTGACCACTTTGGGTGTCTATAGATAACGCCTCTTCTTTTTTTTTTAATAGATGATCCCCGTCTTTTGTCCAGGGATTTCGCCCTTGTTTTGTTTGTAGATGACGCCCCTTTTTTTTGTCCGTAGATGACGCCCCTTCTTTTTTGTCCGTCGATGACGCCCCTTCTTTTTGTCCGTAGATGACGCCCCTTCTTTTTGTCCGTAGATGACGCCCCTTCTTTTTGTCCGTAGATGACGCCCCTTCTTTTTGTCCGTAGATGACGCCCCTTCTTTTTGTCCGTAGATGACGCCCCTTCTTTTTGTCCGTAGATGACGCCCCTTCTTTTTGTCCGTAGATGACGCCCCTTCTTTTTGTCTGTAGATGACGCCCCTTCTTTTTTGTCCGTAGATGACGCCCCTTCTTTTTGTCCGTAGATGACGCCCCTTCTTTTTTGTCCGTAGATGACGCCCCTTCTTTTTGTCCGTAGATGACGCCCCTTCTTTTTGTCCGTAGATGACGCCCCTTCTTTTTGTCTGTAGATGACGCCCCTTCTTTTTTGACTGTAGATGACGCCCCTTCTTTTGTCCACAGACGAGTCCGTTTCTGTAGCAACCGAAGACTCACTTGTGCCTGTGGATGACCCCCTTTCTGTAACCCTCAGTATTTGATGCAGGTCTAAAAAAATAGGTAGCTCGTGGATAATACCATTTGCCCCTAGGGGAAATTATAGATTAAAATGCGACGAGAACAGGTTGCTCCAGTGGCCGTGGAGGAAATACAAAGCCCTGTGCATCATGAAGCCCTCTGATTATCGTGAATACTTTTTGATTTTCCATCTTCGTCCCGAAGACATCAAGCTCCTTGATTTCACAGTTCCCACGCATGTTAAACCAGAGTACAACCACTCATTCTGTCTAGTGCGTTAAGAAAACGTATCAAGAGGACTGTTATAGCAGTTGCTGTTCCTCTGGATGTTGCAAGTTGGCTTGCAACTAAATGTTGAACTAGGGAACTATCAGGGGGGAAAGCGCCAAGTCATTACGACTATATAGCACTTGGAAAGGGTCAGGATAAGGATTTGGGATGGGAAAGGGGGAAGGAATGGTGCCCAACCACTTGGACGGTCGGGGATTGAACGCCGACCTGCATGAAGCGAGACCGTCGCTCTACCATCCAGTCCAAGTGGCTGGGTGAATGTTGAGTGAATGTGTGCATGTGTGTGCTTCCCCCTTTACCCCGGAGGCGGGTGTGACGTTCAACGGGGAATCAGGCAGTGTTCTTTGCATCCACAGGCGGGTGTAGCCACGGCAGGTCCCACCTGTTCTGGGTGGAGAGCATCAACGGGTCTCCAGCCTTCAGGGCACATCCCTGCGACGACTGGACCTCCTACGAGAACGGCCAGTGCTCGTCCTGCGGCGCCGGCTGCCTGGAGATGGGCTTCCACGTGAGCCGCAGGTGAGGCACGGGGTGGGTAGGTGAGGGCAGGGAGGGTGAAGGTGGGCAGGTGAGGGAGGGGGGAGAGAGGGAAAGACGAGGATGGACAGGGGAGGGTAACACAGGGGTCATGAAAAGCATGGAAGAATAGGAGACAGTAAGAGACGGTAGGACAGACAAACTTGGGATAAGGAGAGAAGAGGAGCAAGGTATAGTAGGATAGTACCTCCTCCGGCAACCAGCAGGCCTGGTCGACGACCGGGCCGCGGGGTCGCTAAGCCCCGGAAACACCTCAAGGTAACCTCAAGGTATGGATCAAGACAGAGTAGAGAAAGGCAAAGGGAAGGCAATAGATAATAGGAATTAATGTTAGAAAAGATAGGAGAGAAGAAAGGGAATATAATACTCACCTTCCGTCTGAACGCTCCTTCCTCGTAACTCAACCAAACATAACCATTTACTCACAAGATTCAAAGTACCTCAATATTGTCTTATTTAATTGTTTATTGATCGATATACCTATTGCTTCTCTCCAGTCTGCGAGGCACGTACTTCCTGACCACCAACAGCGACCCGCCCTACGCTCAGGGGTAGATAGACGCCTCGCTCCTAGACGATAGAGAAACAAGACTGTTGGAGCCACCAGTGATCGGGAGTGTCAAGCCCTGGCCCCCTCCAGCCACTGTTAACCATCGTCACGTCGCAGTCATTATCCTTCTTCGAGTACAATTTCATCATCCTTCCCAGTCATACACATTCTTCTCATAAATTATCAAAGTCCCCTGCAAACCACTTTCCGTGTTATGATCTCTATAATAATTCTCTTTTGCCTTCATTCGGCTTCCAGTCCCTATAATCAACACACACACATATATCGCACTCTTTCTTTGTTACTGTAATCATCCCTCCTAGTTTCTTTACTTCTCCATTCTTCCAATTATTTTCAGCTATCTACGTCAATCTTCTACCTCCATTTAAACACTATACAAAATGTTGTTTTAAAGGATAATAAACACAAATGTTAATTGTATCCTCGTTTCTTACCTTAACGGCTTGAGACTCTATAGACGTTTGTGAAGCATCTCCAGTATGGATATTGGCGGACAACTACAGAAAATTAGTTTGGGCTGGACTTTCGCAGTCATTTGGGCTGGACTTTCCCAGTCATTCAGGCTGGACATTCCCAGGCACTTGGGCTGGACTTTGCCAGTCGTTTTGGTTAGGCTTTCTCAGTCGTTTGAGATAGGATTGCCTAAGTTTTAGTCTGGATATAAGTATCTTTCGTTCTTTATCTCAGGTTAAGTACCGTTAGATCTGGTCAACAAATGGATAGGAGAGATCGAGAACAACCTCGCTCTCGACTAGAGAGATCTCGACAATTGAAAATCAAATTATTATCTCGTGTAAAAACATCTATCATAGTCTATCATATAAAATTACGTTTTCTATTATTTTTACAATATTAGAAAATGAAAAGCTAAAGAATTTATGGTAAACTATATAATACACCAATCCCTTACCAGAATTTATCTGAGAGGCTACTTTCTCTCATGTTACCTCGACGAGGACAGAAGGCCGGCGGCTTATCAACTATCCCACCTTGTCCCTGAAGATTTTATCCAACTGGATTTGCTATCACTATGGCCTCTGGTGCGTATAAAATCAGTCTCGGACTCAGGTAAAAAAAAACTCTCTGGAATTCAGAAAAGCCAATTTTAGGAATCTAGTTAGCAGTGGTGGTAGGCCTATGCCAACGTAATATTAGAAGTACCTACGTAATAAATTGCCAGGAGAAAGCTGGACAGGTTGCCTTATCCCCGCTTCCTCTGTTAATCTAATAGGAAAGAGGTATTTGGTGGCAAGTTGACTGTTGTGGGTGGCATCGTGAGGAATGGTCAGCAATGCTCATGCTGCGTTCTGAAACTAAAGTCCAGTGATTGATCTATATCATTGAAGTTTGTATATTACTCATATGTATTTTTCATGGTGATCTACACAACTGTTTGCTAAGAAATGTACATAAACATCACACAAGGGTCTCAGTTTGATTCAGTAGCGTGTTTAGAAATTGTACCCACCAGGGACAGAGGAAGGAATTCCTTTTAAGGTGAGAGAAGGGGACCCTTTTGAGGGACTTTCTCAGGGACATTCTTCAGCAACAGAGGAAAGGACCCCTACTAAACGACAGGGCCAAGAGACCCTCCCAATAAGAGACAGGGAGGAATGTCCCCCTCCTGAAGGACACACACACACACACACACACACACACACACACACACACACACACACACACACACACACACACACACACACACACACACACACACACACACACACACACACACACACGACGGAGTAGTTATGGTACTAAACAAAGCCCTACTCGAGGTGTCCTGAACAGATGCCAGCTGAGGAGGAGGCGTTATTTCCAGTATCCTGTAGAGGTCAATAAACCGTTCAGTGTCACCTGGTCACAAACAGACGCTCACCAAACAAAACAAACAAATACACTCGCATACGTGTATATACAGTATTAAAGAAAGAGACAAACAGACAGACAGACACAGAATCAAAAAGCAAATAGTAAGTAAGACACACACAGGGACACTGACACATAAGGAAAAACAAAACAGAAACTAAGTACTGATGGCAAGATAACGAAGGTATTAACAGGAAGAGTATTTACAGTTTCCGTTAACAGGTGTCACTTGCTAACGTAACTGCTTGCAAATACAGGGTAATGGTCCGTAACTCATTAACGACAGTCCGTTGTCGTTTATGTTAGCTCGGTATTTAGAGGGGAGGTGGAATGGGCTTTGGAGGGGCTTGGAGGGGGTTGGGGGGTTTAATGGACAAGATAATTTTCATTTTTTTAGCAAATGAAGGGAATGACTGCGTTAAACTTTGTGACTAAAAATGGATCCTTATTATGGTCCTGCAGCATCTGCTTCTCCCAAGTCAAGCCATCCTAACCACTTGGGCTGGACGGTAGAGCGACGGTTTCGCTTCATGCAGGTCGGCGTTCAATCCCCGACCGCCCAAGCGGTTGGCGACCATTTTTTCCCCTTCCCCTTCACGATTCCCCCGTCTCATCCCACCCTTTCCCAGGGCCGTATAGTCGTAATGGCTTGGCGCTTTCCTTAAAAAAATCCTTTTTTCTTCTCTCAAGTGAACCGGGTCCATCGCAACTACCACTAACTCAAGTAGACGAAAACTCAGAGCTGATTCACCCCCAAGTAGACGAAAACTCAGAGCTGATTCACCCCCAAGTGGACGAACACTCAAAGCTGATTCACCCCCAAGTGGACGAAAACTCAAAGCTGGTTCACCCCAAGTGGACGGTTCATTCACTACAGTCTTACCCAAGTGTAAGTGTCTCTATTCAGAGACACTTACACGTCCAAGTGGACGCGTCGTTTACGACTCCCCATTAGACTCACTTCGTAATTTTACGAGTGACGTTTAATGGCTCGTTGTGTCACAACACAAAGCCGTAAAACACACATTTTGCATTGAGATTCTCGCGTTTAACTGAAAGGTTATACTCGACCCCTTGGGCCAGGAGAGAGGGTGTACTCGACCCCAGGGGCCAGGAGAGAGGGTGTACTCGACCCCAGGGGCCAGGAGAGAGAGTGTACTCGACCCCAGGGCCAGGAGAGAGGGTGTACTCGACCCCAGGGCCAGAAGAGAGAGTGTACTCGACCCCAGGGCCAGGATAGAGAGTGTACTCGACCCCAGGGCCAGGAGAGAGAGTGTACTCGACCCCAGGGGCCAGGAGAGAGAGTGTACTCGACCCCAGGGCCAGGAGAGAGGGTGTACTCGACCCCAGGGCCAGAAGAGAGAGTGTACTCGACCCCAGGGCCAGGATAGAGAGTGTACTCGACCCCAGGGCCAGGAGAGAGAGTGTACTCGACCCCAGGGGCCAGGAGAGAGGGTGTACTCGACCCCAGGGCCAGGAGAGAGGGTGTACTCGACCCCAGGGCCAGGAGAGAGGGTGTACTCGACCCCAGGGCCAGGAGAGAGGGTGTACTCGACCCCAGGGAGCCCCAGATACCGCTGGAAGGCTGTATTTAAACCTAAGAGCCAGATGGTAGGTCATACTCGACTCGAGGGCCAGCTGGGAAGCTGTACTCGACATTCGGGTCAGCTGGCTACCGTTATGTGACATGCATTATTATTAAAATATCGGATCAAATGATAAAACAATGATGACGGCACATTTTAAACTGTTTTGTAGGTGGGGCTGGGAGTTGTATTCACCTAGTTGTGCTTGAGAGGGTTGAGCTCTGCTCTTTCGGCGCGCCTCTCAACTGTCAATCAACTGTTTCTAACTACTACTACTACTACTATTTTTTTCCACACACGCACACACCCCAGGAAGCAGCTTCAAGTGTAGATATGATAGATCCCAGTAGGCTCAGGAACCTGTATACTAGTTAATTGACAGTTGAGAGGCGGGACCAAAGAGCCAGAGCTCAACCCCCGCAAGCATAATTAGGTAAGTAAACACTCACACATACACACACAAACGCACACACACATCTCTTTAGACTTCCCAAAAGCCTTAAACACAAACAGTTCAGCCCAAAAGGCTACGGTGAAGATCTTGAGAAACATAACCAGGAAGAAAACACTGAGGTGGGTGAGAAGGTACCTAACAGACTGGAGTAAGAGTCACAGTGAGAGGGTGAGAAGTGGGTCACCCACAGTGTAACTAATGGAGTCTCCCCTCCTCCCAGGAAATAATTTCTTGGACTAAGGCTATATTTAATCTTTGTCTATGACCTAACTTTCTTGGGTTGAACCATACATACCAATACTTTCACACGACTCAAAATAAATGGCGAGGTTACCTTGAGGTGCTTCCGGGGCTTAGTGTCCCCGCGGCCCGGTCGTCGACCAGGCCTCCTGGCGAACCCAAAACTCCAAAACTATTTATGAACTTATTAGTTTAGGAACTGAATATTACGACAATGAAAAAATGAAAATACGAGAGAGGACATAACAGATAAATAAAATATTTAATATAAATGACAAAGTGGAAAAAATATATATTGCAATGACGGAGGAAACTATCAAGGGAAATCGCCAAGCCATTACGACTATATAGCACTTGGAAAGGGCCAAGATAAGGATTTGGGATGGGACGGGGGAAGGAATGGTGCCCAACTACTTGGACGATCGGGGATTGAATGGCGACCTGCATTAAGCGAGACCGTCGCTCTACCGTCTAGTACAAGTGGTTGGCAAATTACAACAAACAAGAGTAGAGTGGAAATGTAAACTAGACACACATATGTGGGTCACCAGAGTAGTAGGAAAATGCAATGAAACAGACATGAAAGAGATAGTTGAATCCTCCTCCAAATACAAGCTTTAAAGGTATGGGAAAATCGGGTTCCTAGAGCTGAAACTCAAGCATATATTCACCAATAGCTGAGTACACTCGCACGGAAGCCATTCACCTCCCCCCCCCACCCCTAGCATCAGACTCATCTTAGCAGTACTCATGTTCTCTAAGTCACTATTAAGATGCTGCGGATGCGAGACGTCAGGTTAAGATGCTCTGCTGTCAAATGTTTACGGCCTCTTGAGTAGGTTCATAAACTCTCAGTGATCATCCCCCCCGACCCTCTGATCCATCCTCCGACCCCAGAGCAATGGCCAGACCCCCCAACCTGTCTTCAGACCAGGCTCGTTCAAGCAGCGACCTTTCCCCCAAAGACGCATTTATCAATTTTTACGTAATGGTCATTAACAATAAGTTCGTTCTCATATATTAAATTAATACCATATATAAAAGTTCTATGCTGAGTTAAGTGTTGGTTTGGCGTAGTTTAGGTTAGGTTAGGTTAGGTGTTTAGGTTCTGTTGATGATTACTAGTATCTGTAGTCGGGCGTAGCACGTATCTGTAGTCGGGCGTAGCACGTATACAGAGTTGAGATTCGAACAGAGGTCGTCAGCGAAGAATTGTTTGAGAAATGATCGAACATCAGCTGTGAGTCGTGTGTTAACCGTTTTCCATTC